TCTTAGAGAAAGAGCAGGATATATTTACCAAAGTGCCTTTGTTCACTTACGGCTCGGATGATGGCTGGCCCCCTTGTGGGCGTTGTGCGATAAGGACGCCCTCCGGGGCAGGGCCCCCTGGCGAAGGTTTCTTCCCTCGTTTAGAAACCTCCGTTTCTAAGTCTTCAGAGGCAATCCTTTTCTTCCCGTGGGGAGAGGGGATTCTAGATTCATCTTCCCGATCATCCTCCGTCACGGAGGCACTAATTCCCCCGGTTTGGATGTGCAACGTATGAAGGCCGCCTACTGCTTCTCTATTCCTCCCCTCACCTTCTCCCGATGGCACTTTATAGGGTGTGCGAGCCAACATCCTGGTCAGTACAGGATCCGGCGAGCCTTCGGGAAGAGGGGCCGAACACTTGATCCTCTCCGCCTTTCTTATCCAGTCCTGGCCGAGGGAAGTTTTTCAGAATGATGTTGTGACAAATATAAAGAAAGCATGTTCGGTCGTGGAATTACTTATTTGGGTATCTGGACGGTTGTAGTTGAGACCCGCATACTCGGTGGTATCTGGACACTTTGTTCGTGATCCGAAGAATAATCCGTACATCCCTTCAAGTGTCACGCCGACGAAGTGTTGAATAGTTCGCGGTCCTTCCGGGTTGAACTCCCACATACGGAGAGATCGACGTTGGCATGGTAGGACCCAACGAACTAGCATTACTTGTAATACTTTGATGAGACTGACATCCCTCTTGAGGAGATCTCGGATGCGGCTTTGCAATGTCAGCACGTCATTAACTGCCCCCCCCCCCAGTCTAGCCCTTTGTTGACCCATGACGCCAGTTGGGGTGGAGGGCCTGGGCGAAAGGATAGGGGGCGCCCGCTTTGTACCTCGGGGTGCTGTGATGTAAAACCACTCTCGTTGCCATAAGTCGGACACCTCCGGGAAGGAACCCTTTGGCCATAGGGCGTCGGCACCTTTGCTTATTATAGAGCCTCCGCACTCCGCATATCGCCCGTTGATCATCTTCGGCTTCACATTGAAGGTCTTGAGCCATAAGCTGAAGTGTGGGGTAATGCGGAGGAAGGCCTCACACACACGACGATAACCGATGAGATGTGAAGGATGGAATCTGGAGCTAGATTGTGGAAATCTAGCCCGTAATAGAACATGAGCCCTCTTACGAAGGGATCAAGACTAAAGCCTAGCCCTCGGAGGAAGTGGGAAACAAATACAACACTCTCGTTGGGTTTGGGAGTGGGGATAACCTGCCCTTGAGCAGGTAGCCTGTGGGGGATTTCGGCGGTCAGATACCTAGCCTCCCTTAGCTTTTTGATGTCCTCCTCTGTGACAGAAGAGGCCATCCACCGGCCTTGAAGGTTGGATCCAGACATGGTTGAAGGTCCGAAGCGCATAGACTGAACCTTGGGTGTTGGAACTCGAGGTAAGGGAAGGGAAGGATCGAGCGTGGAAAGAAAAGGACAGGTCTTGGCCCCTTTGTAAAGAGGGTGAATATCAAGCATCCTCCGCGTGGCCGTTTGGAACTTGCCTAAAATCAAGGAGTCATACTAACGAGCACGGTTGGGTTACCCACGCCCGTATTGATGAGAATCCCATGATAAGGGGAACACAATCTCTGCTTCGACAAGACGTGCCAATAAAACCGCCTCGCAATACGTGCGATAGCAGGCTGGGAAAATGGTTCGTGTAATGACCGGGCCCTAGTATGATGTCACGCTATGAAAAGTTGTCAGCAGATTAGATTTGTGGAATATTGTACTCTCTACGGTGGTATGTGGAATTTGTTTTTGTAGAGCCGGACACGATTCATGTGTTCAAAATCTACCTTGGAGTATTCGGAGAAGGAACCCGCCGTGCAATGCCGAAGACAATCTGCGCGCTGGACTCATCGTCATTGAAGCCTGGTTCAGGGGCTACTGAGGGAGTCCTGGATTAGAGGGTCCTTGGACAACCGGACTATGTACTTGTGTCGGATTGTTGGACTATGAAGATACAAGATTGAAGACTTCGTCCCGTGTCCGGGTGGGACTCTCCTTAATTTGCGTGGAAGGCAAGCTTGGCAATTCGGATATGTAGATTTCCTTCTTTGTAACCAACTCTGTGTAACCCTAGCCCCCTCCGTGTCTATATAAACCGGAGGGTTTAGTCCGTAGGACAAGAACAATCATAATCATAGGCTAGCTTCTAGGGTTTAGCCTCTACAATCTCGTGGTAGATCCACTCTTGTAATACTCATATCATCAAGATCAATCAAGCAGGAAGTAGGGTATTACCTCCGTCGAGAGGGTCCGAATCTGGGTAAACATTGTGTCCCTCGCCTCCTGTTACCATTAGCCTTAGACGCACGGTACGGGACCCCCTACCCGAGATCCGCCGGTTTTGACACCGACACCCGGCAGGGCAGGTTGCAGGCCAGTGCTGGGAGACTAACATTGTACAATCTTCCCTGACAGCAATACTTCATGATGTCCTTTTATGGGTTGCCAGTTGAAGTGAATAAAAGAATGGACTTCTTTAGGGCTAGATTGTTGTGGCAGGATAATATTGATAAGAAAGAATGCCACTTAGTAAATGATCAGAGGTCTGTAAACCTAAGGATATGGGTGGTCTGGGTGTTCAAAATCTAGCTCTTATGAACAAAGCTTTGCTATGTAAATGGTGGTGGAAGATATAAAATACAGAAGGGATGTGGCAAAGTGTGCTAAAACACAAGTACATTAAGAAAACGTCTCACCAGTGTTAAAAGTAGAGGGGGGATTCGTGATTTTGGGGGGAATTGTTAAAACATAAAGAGTTCTTTTTCTCTTTGTGTAAATTCAATGTGGGAATGGTGAGAACACCGGATTATGGGAAGACTGGTGGATTGACCCAAAAATATTAGAAGACAGCTACCCCCATTTATATAACATATGCTTTGACAAGAATAAGTCAACGGCAATAATTTAGGGAAATGGGCGTAATAATGTGAGATTTAGAAGAACTTTATTGGGGAAATCATTGGAACAATGGGGGCACATCAAAGAGGCTTGTGATAGTATAGCTTTAGATGAACAAAATGATAAAATAAGATGGACTTTGGTGGATAATGGCAACTGTACGGTCAAGTCTTGTTATAGACACTTAGTCTAGACTGGACTCAAATATCCTTATAAATTCTTATGGAAAATGAAAATGCCACCTAGGGTCAAAGTTTTCTTATGGCTAATGCTGAGAGATAGCATTGTCACTAAAAACAATCTGAAGAAAAGGGGGTGGCAGGGTGATAGTAAATGTTCTTTTTGTGGTCAGGAAGAAGACATAGATCATCTCTTCATACATTGCTTTGTTGAAAAAATGTTATGGATGGTTATGAAATGCTCGTTTGGAATGCATGATATTCCCGATAGTGTCAATGATATTTTTGGTGTGTGGCTTGGCAAATTTGATAAAAATGACAAAAGTCTTCTGATAGTAGGCATTTCTGCAATGTTGTGGACTATGTGGAAGCTTAGAAACAGATTGGTTTTTGATAATACCAGGGTAACTGGCCCTGTGTGCCTATGAATCTGATCATTAAGAACTTACATGATTGGTGTATGTTGCAGAAAAACCAAGAAAAATAAAGCGCATGACGGAGGGCGTAAGGCAAGTCGAGCGGGTGGCTCGGGAGATCTTCAAAGCTGCACATGGATGGAAGACGGTAGTGTCAAGACTGACTCCTCCTGCAAACCGAACATGATGAAGATCCTCCCCCTGGAGTCATTAGTTGTTTCTCCTCTCCTTATGCTCTTCTTGTTGTTTGTCTTTTTGGACATGTAATGAAGTATGTTCCCAAAGATTGAGAGTCATGTTGGTTCCGCCCTGGTGCATATGCCGGGGGGTTAGCTTATTTTGATATGAGCTGTTGGGAGGGAGGGAGGGATCTCTCCTTTTCCATGTAATAGCGTTGTCAAATTGAGTGAGGCGTTTTGGCTCCCAAGAGCATCTGCACTTGTGATGAATAAAAAAATCAAAACAAATACTAAAAAAATTCAAGAAATTACATTTTTTTTGGCATGGTAGATAATTTGGTGCGTGATGTCCGATTCAAATTTCAAATCATTTGGACATCTAAGTAGCTCTCGGCAAAAAAGACAAATTTGAGGTCTGTTAAATAGTGTACTGTTCACATGCTGTTCTGACCCAATTTGTCTTTTTTGCTGAGCGCTAACCAAACGCCCAAATGCTCTGAAATTTGGAGTGCACCTCGCGCACCAAATTATCTACCACGCACAAAGTTTTTAGATTTTTTTTTAATTTCTTTATGAATTATCTATTGACCGGTGCAGATGAGCCCACGCTCAGAATTGGATATTCGTGTCAAATTACCCTATGCTTTCGAGTAGTTGGTAGGGTCTTGTAGTTCTGAAGACAATACGGTTTCTATTATATGAAATCGAAGAGGTAGCTCTCTTTATAAAAAAGAAGCGATGATGTAGTGCGATCTATGGTGATATCCATGCTTTGTGCCACTACGTGTGGTACTAATCAGGGTCAAAAGAAAAAGAGTCAGACAGGTTTCTTAGGAAACGAACCAAGCTGCCTCCATGTTCGCTGGGGTTTACTCTGATCGAACGTTCTGGGGATATCCAGGTCCTAATTCAAACTTCAACATGGTGCTCATTTGAGAAAGAGTCTAATTCTGCTAAACTTTGCAGAATAAATTATTTTGTGCTAAAGTTTGATTCCAGGGCCAAATGTGTAATTTCGCCTCCGCCACTGATATCTGTGAAGTACTGAAGTCCAATCACTTAACTGCGCGAACTGAAAAAAGAATCATGTAGCGGTAGCAGACTGTGGTGTCGAGTCCAATCACACGACAAAAGATTTCTCCTCGACGCCTCGGGAACCCGGCCACCATTCTTGACTCTACCTCTCCAAACCGGCTCCCAATCCTGTGTTCTTTCCCATTCTCCTACCTCTGCCCGGTTCAGCGAGGCAACGAGCACGAGCGAATAGCGCAACAGGCGCCGACGCGATGCCTTCCACCAATCCCTCCTCCTCCTCATCCGCCGGCGACATCAGCGACGCCGCCGCCGCGGCCGCCCTCTCGAGGCCCGCCGCATATCGGGTCACCTCGTCCCTCCTTACCCAGGACGCGGTCGATGCCCTGCGCAGGAAGCACGGCGTGCCGACCGCCTACACCGCGCGCCCCGCTGGCGACCGGCGCGCCTTCACTCCGCCTCCAGAGCGGGCCGTGTGCCTGTACGCGCACGCTCTCGAGGCCGGGGTGCGCCTCCCGCTGCACAGCTTCTTCTCCAAGGTGCTCACCCACTTCAACCTCGCGCCAGGCCAGCTCGTGCATAGCGGGTGGCGCGTCCTTGTGGGGTTCGTGGTGTTCTGCCGCGATGCCGGCGTGAAGCCATCGACGACCGTATTCCGCTACTTTTTCTCGCTGGTCACATACAAGTCCGGGTGCTGGTACGGCTTCCGAGCTGACCACGACGACCGCAAGCTCTTCACTGGGTATTGTCTGGAATCCGAGGAGACGTGGAAGGGCAGGTTCTTCTTCCTGACATCGCCGGAGCCATGGCCCTGCCCCGTGCTTTGGGCCGAGCGGCCGTCGAAGTACAACTACTCCAGCAGCGTCCCTGAGCGAGTGCTCACAAGCCGGCAAAAGAGAATGGCGGCAAAGCTACTGGGCGCACGCAGCACCGCGGTTGATCTCCGGACTTACCTCTCTGATACCAAACTTGCAGAGGTTTTCTCTTCCAGCATCGCCTCACCACCGCCCGGGCCTGCCCTTCATTCCACTGGCGGCAAAGGTAAACTCGCTTCTGAAGCTCCCGATAACTGGTTTCTGTATCGACTATCGAGTGACCACATAATTTACCGACGTGTTTTGAGCTAGGCACGGATACGTCCGCGGCGACTGTGAAACCTGAGCCGGACGGCGACGCGCCGACGGTGTCCCTGAAAAAGAGGAAACACGAGGAGGCAGCTATGGCAAAAGACGACCTTTGCCGTTCTGAGCAGAGCACGCCGCATGCTGCCCATGGCTGCTCGGCCTCCGCATCCGGCTTGGGTGCCCCGCCAGGTTTCGACCCGAAGGCACGGCACCTGCCCGTGCCCGACACACACGACGGCGACAGCGCCGACTGGGAGGCCGCGAAGAAGGTGCTAGAGTGCATCACCACGCCGTCGCGGGAGCGTGGGTTCGCCGCTGCAACGCCCTCCGACGTCGTCGCGTCGAGCTACTCCGCAATGCTCCAGGTATGCTGCGACCAAATCGTCCATCGGTAGATGCATGTGATTTATCCGGTGACATTGTGTTTTACATGTACCTCGTGCACGTGCAGGCCGCGAACTACGCGTCATTCTCCTTCGGCTATGCACTGGAGCTGGAGAAGAAGCTGGCTGCGCGGGACAAAGAGAATGCCGCTCTATGATTGCAGCTGGAGAGCGCCAAGGCCGAGTTGACCGCGGCGAAGCGCGCAGCGGAGGGGAGATGAAGGCCAAGACGACGGGGATGTAGAAGTGCGCCGCTCTCAGGATATGGCCGCGCCTCGACGCCGCCCGGCTCGTCGTCCACCTTGTTGATTTAGTTGTTCTTTTGTGCGTGCATGTCCTTAGAAGTTTTTTTTTTATTTTTTAGAAAAGGAGGAAGACCCCCGGCCTCTGCATCTGGGAGATGCATACGGCCACTTTATTGATTATTCTCGATAACCATACAAAGTATTACAACAATGTGTCTGAATCCACCATCTTGGCAACATGTGCCGCTACTCCTATCCAATATGATGAGGGGGTGCTAGCTGGGCCACTACCCAAACCACTCACCTAAGCCTAACATCAAAAGCCGGAAGCCGAAACTCATTCGGTAACCCCAGCCGAGCCACATACTGGGTCTGGGGCGCAATCCGGTCAGACGCACTCGTGTGTCGTCGCCGCCATCTTCCACAGGTCCGTCTTCAGATCAAATTGAGGCTTCTACCTTGTCTGGCCAGTCTGCCATCGACGTCCCCATGACGCCAGACAGCTTCCTCCTCCTGCACGAGTCCATCTCCGCGCATCAGACGCCGAGTCTCCACAGCACCATGCTGCCGAGATCCGCCATCATCAATGTGAAAGATGAAGCACCGCTCCACCAACGTCGCCGTCCTCTAGACAGCGCCACCACCTTGCAGAGCGGAAAGATACAATGGCGATGGAAAGCAAGAGCTAGGACGAGGAGGGTACCACCGCCGCCACCCCCCGCACCCCAACAGCGCCCACCGACCACCAAGCTCCCTAAACGGCGCCATCAAGAAGGATACGACGCCGATGGCGCCGCCGCCGCCCAACAAAGTTGGAGCTTTCGCCCGGGAGAACTAGGGGAAGGGGGAGTGGGGGGATCAGACCTGTCAGACGCCTCCAAGGAGGGACACGGCGCCCTCAGGCGTCGCCGTCGACGCAGCCGAGCATGGTCGGCCATGGCTTTCGCCCGGACTGGATTCCCCACCACTAGCACCACTAGCGCCGGCGTCCCATGGAACACGGGCGGGCCGGATGGGGGAGAACACGCCGTACAGGGAGGAGGGGCGCCAGATCTGGCGCCGTCGCCCTCGTCCTCCGAGATTCCGCCGCCCGCGCGGCCAAGAACGCCGGAACCAAACGCCCGCACCACCGCTCGCCGCTAAGCCGGTGGTGCCTCACCAGGGGGGCCGCCGCCCCAGATCCGAATGCCCCCGCGGAAGCAGAGCAGCAACTTGCCCCGCCGCCACCTTCCTTGGCGGCGCCCCGGACTTGCCCGGAGACCGCCTCTGGCGGCGGCGAGGAGAGGTGGGGGTGGAGGAGGGTGGGCGCGGCTAGGGTTGGCGGCGGCGAGGAGAGGTGGGGGTGGAGGAGAGGTGGGAGAGGCGCGGCTAGGGTTGGAGGAGGGCTGGGCGCGGCTCAGGTGTTTGATTAAATGGCTCACCGTAAATACAACAAGTACGACAAGAAGTACGACTCTCTCAACAAGTACTGCGCTATTTTGGTTATGTAATGGGAAGGACAAGGTAACCCAAGTTAAATTCACCGAAGAATTTGCAGCCATTATAGGCACCTCCAATGTCGGCTCGTAGAACAAACATTGGTGATGAATTGTTAGAAACAGGGCTGAGCTAGGACTTCCTATACAATGGAGCTTGATCGGTAGCTTTGGCCTCCCTGATCCAAATTAAGTTACCAAGATTAAATGACATTTTTAAACCCAAATTAAATTACCAACACGAAATGACATTTGAAACCTAACTTATGTTACCAACATGAAATGACATTTTAAGCCTCACTTCCTAAAATAAAAACGAAGAACACTCGTCGATATGAAGCTGGTCCATTTTACAAGCGATCCCCTACTTTGCATCTTGAAGATTACAAGGTCCAGAGCCAGAGCGGTCATTTCAGATATATAATCTCTGCCTGCAATACAAACAAAAGTTAAACTAGACGGACAAGTATCATGCAAACACCACGAAATCCATGCTAATGGACATAAATTCAATATAAGTTACATAAACCGAACGATATCCCGTCCACCGTGGGCCTCCACAAGCACCCGGGCCAGCGTGACGTCAGACTTTGCAAACTCCGACCGGCCGTGTTGCGTAGCTCCTTCCGTGCGGCCCTCCTAGCCGCACTCTCCTTCGCCGTCATAGTGCTTGGCGATAATGAGTCGCCACCGCTGTGACCAAGGTAATAGAGGAGGCGCACGGCGCGCCGAGTTACCTAATGCCTTCCACGCGGCCTTCTCACCAGAGGAGAGGATGATCTCCTTCCTCGAGGAGCCGACCGTTATGGAGGACGATATCTCTCGAGAGCGACGGCGGTGCCACAACGATCTGGATTCAGAAGGAGATCCAGAGCCACCCACCGACACGGAGAACCAGGATAGGAGATGTGACGTGGACGGAGCCGGAGCCGTGCTTAGGCTGGTCATAGTGGGGAGTAACTTAGACTAGTAACATGCATATGTTACTACTACCTCTATATAGTGCATAGTATCATAGATTAGTATCATAGATGGTCTCATTTATTGACATGCATGACACATAGTAGTATCATATTTATTATGTTAAGAAGAGAGAGAGGGTCACATCACTCTGACCGACATCAGTGCCGCCGAGTCATGTCCGCTCTGGAGCGGCTTCACCGGCATGAATGTGCGTCAATTGTTTCGCGCAAAAAGTGTTTTGGGTTGGACCGACCAACCAGTGTCTGGACTCCCGCAATCCCCTCCCTTGGTTTGCATCCAGTTTATGGGAATTCGGGCACCTGGGCGCGCCTGTCGACTCATGTGCACTGTGTTCGATGACATACATCGTCCAGACACCTCGGACCAAACATTTGCGTACTTCTCAGGGTCCATATTGTAGATGCCCTGACCTCATTTTATTTCCTCAAATTTTGGATTTGTTTGGCTCTGGATTCTTGGAACAATGAAATGAAAAAAAACAAGATCAATTGGATGTTTTATGGCATAGTGTTTCCTCGGAAAGTGCAATTCATCTGTACGAGGTCTTGCATCTATGGTTTTAGAAGAAATGGAAATTTTATCCCGGTGCATCTTTTTTGGGGAATAAGGAAGTTTTATTTCACAGTTGTAGGCGTACAATCTGGTCGTACAAGGTGATGAATGAAGCTGAGTTCTCCCGAAAGTGCTTTTGTGATCTCAAGCAGACATGCACCTCCATAGACGGTAAAAACTTAAAAAAAACGAATCTTTTTTACAGCAAAAATTGTTGAATGTTCTGCATGCGTACACTTTTTCATGAATAAAAAAATTCCTACTTCTTTGGACCAAAAAATTCAGTGTTTCAAAATTCTTTTAACAAGTATTTTCGGAGCATTGATTTCTTTTAGATTATTTTTTATGCACAAAAATGTACATTGTACGTAGAACATTCAACAATATTTGTTTACAAAACAAACAGATAAATTTTCATTTTTTACCTTTTCTAAATTTTATTGTTCACAAGGGTGCCTGTGAGTTTGAGATTACAGACACCATGTTCAAGTTTTCTTTAGTGTGATGATGAGAATGGATAGCAGAAACACAAGTGGCTCTTTGTAGTACGAGATCATGCTTACATATCAGTCACATTAAGACCCTCTTTGATTTGCAGGATTTTCAAAACGGAGGAATAGGGAAAAAATAGAGGATTTGAGTTGCATGTCCACTTGAATCCTATAGGATTCCCATAGAGTGTTTGGGGCCAGAAAAAATTTAAGGATTCGTAACAATATGTTGAAGTGGATGTTAGATTTTCAATGAAATGTAAAACACTTCATTTCATAGAGAAAATTCCTATAGAATTTAATCTTGTGAATCAAATGACCAACGTAGAAAAAATACTAAGGATTCTACGCGTCCAAAAATCCTATGAAATCCCTTTGAATCAAAGGAGCCCTAAGCATGTAAACTTCTCCTTCAAAGTGAAATGTCTAAATGCTCTCCTTTTTAGAGCATCTACAGTCGGGCATCTTAAACCCGCCTCATACGCCCGAGCGGGCCACCCGGTCACTGTCCAGTCACGATTTTTTGACCCGGACGGACCCCTCACATGGCCGGGCTAACCGACACCCCCATATCCAGCCCAAATATGGGGCGGATATGGGCCCCCCACGTCGAACTCGGCCCACGCTAGCCCACCCGACTACACATAAATTTCTCCTCATCCGCTCGCCGGACCAAACCCTAGCATGGCCCAATCCCCTCCGCCACACAAGCTCATCTCTGGCTCCTTCCGACCGTCTCCGGCATGGCGGCCAATGGATCCGAGTCCTTCAGCTCCAGATCTGTCGACCCCGAGCTTATCCCACGCGGCCCTGAGGAGGAGATGGGCGTCCGGCGTGCGCTCCGCCGCGCCCGGGAGGAGCCCTTTGCACGACTGTTCTCGGACTCCATCCATCGGGAATCCATTGTGTCCGCCCAAATGGCGCATGGATCCGGCACTAGGCCAACCGTCGCTGCCTCGCCGGAGGCCATACGGTCCGTCTAACGTCCGAACACGCTGGCCGACGTGCAACCCCTCCATTGGCGCCCCGATATTCGCAACGCACCATCATCCCACAAGGACATGGCACGGCATGCCCGTCGTGCAAGGCACCGGGCGCAGGAGGCGGCGGCAGCCCTCGCGGCGGCGGACGTCGGCGAGGCGGAGTCGCATTCTTCGGCACCCCATATGAGGCATCAGTCCGGGCGACGCAACCGCATCGTGGTGGACGTCGGCGGCTTGTCCCCGGACGGATCCGTCATAGATTTGACGTCTACAGGCACCGCTCGGGTTCCGGACTCCGACGAGGAAGAGTAGGGCATGGGAGATGGCGGCGCCTCGAGTCCCGTGAGCCGGCTCATGTCCCATGCCCTCCTCTACCTTGCCGGCGACCGGACCAACACTCTGAGGAGCGCAGCCGGCTGCCGGACATG